CAAAATGGCTTCTACTGTACAGCACAGTAGAGTTGCCATGGTAACGGCTTCACAGTACTCCACAAGGGGGCTTCCTCTAGGAAGGGCCCCTCAGCTTCAAGCAGAGGGCAAGTTGTCTGGGGAGGTGCCTGCTAGTGCAAATAATCACCTCAAAGGCTGCTCCCTGTAGAATTTTTCCAAGGCTGTTGGCCAGGACATTCTCACCACAGTGGTTGAGGTAACTGGGCCAGGCCCAAGCCGCCTCCCGGGAAAGGTCAGGTGATTGGCCAAGTCCTTTGTAGGGTATAGAATGGAATCTCCCATATCTGAGCCTTGTCTTAAGCAATTAAAAAAAAAAAAGGATAATTCTCAGAAGGCAAGATTGAAATAATGACCGGTGTATGCAAATATTTGCGGCTATGTAATGGTCTCTGTGTTAAGTAGGAAGGAGAAACGGCTCTTCTGGCTTCAAATTTTATTTTATTCTGCTTTATGGATGGAACTGACTTACAACCATTTTTTTTAGTAACTGTTGAAGGTACAACGGGCACTGAAAAAAGTGATTTACGACTGTTTTACACATTTACAGCAACCCCCGTGCTCACGTGAGCAAAATTCAGAGGTTTGGCAACTGGCATGTACTTATGACTGTCGCAGTGTCCAGAGGCCACATGATCCCCCTTTAGTGACCTGGGAAGCCAGATTCACTTAACAATGGGGTGACTAACTTAACAACTGCAGCGATCCGCTTAAGAACCGTGTCGAGGAAGGTTGCAAAATGGAGCAAAAGTCACTTTACAATGGTCTCACTTAGAGACGGAGATTTGGGACTCAACTGCGGTCGTTAAATCGAGGACTAACCGTAATGAAGTTTGTGTTACAGTCATGATGAAATGGTCTGAGGGAACGACCTTGGGGGACAGGGAGGAAGAAGCACCCCAAATGTAACCACGTGACCACAAGGGGGAAGGTGTCAGAACTTCAAATTCGGGACGTAAAACTGCGAAGCAACTCGATGTAAGTCTAGGACTAACTGTATGTGTCAAATTCAACTCATGAAGATTTGTATGGTCACCTCTGGATCAAATTTCGGGGAAATTGGGAGCGGTTTTCTTCTGCCTTTTTGCAGAGGTATTTCTTGCTTTTCAGTTTTAAGTTAGATATGCTAAATAATAAATTCGCTTACATTCCTGGGTTATCCTAGCTCCGTGATGGCGAACCTGTGTCATGCGTGCCGGAAGTGACATGCAGAGCCATCTCTGCCAGCATGCAAGCTGTCGCCCCAGCTCAGTCCCACTGTGCGCACGCGCTTCCCGCCAGCCAGATGATTCCCGGGTATCCGCCGTGCATGCCTGGGTCTCATGCGGGAGACGTGCGCGTGCGGCAGGGGGAGTCGCACGTGCATTGCATTAATGGATGCAGGTATGCGTGCACACACTTTTGGCATGCGATGACAAAAAGGTTAGTCATCACCATCCTAGCTGTTTCCCATCCAAGGAGGGTTAATCCTACTTGATTTGCGAGATCGCCTCAAATACAAGCAGTCCTTGACTGACAGCAGTTCGTTTAGTGACCATTCAAAGTTACAACGGCACTGGGGAAAAAAGTGACTTATGGCCGTTTCCCACACTTATGACCATGGAAAACATTCTCATGGTCATTGATTAAAGTTCAGACACTGGGCAACTGGCATGTACTTATGATGGTTGCGATGTCCCGGGATCATGTGATCCCCTTTTGCGACCTTCTGATAAGCTAAGTCAACAGGGAAACCAGATTCACTTAACAAACATGAGACTGCCTTAACAACGGCCGTGATTCATTGAACAACTGTGGCAAGGTAGGTGGCAAAGTGGGGCAAAACTGGCTTAGCAATATAAATTTTGGTCTCCATTGAGGTCGTACGTTGAGGACTAACCTGTAGAAGCTTCCAAAGCCATGTCTTTCAACACTTTTCAGATGGGTGGATTTCAGCTCCCAGAATTCCCCCATGGCCAACCAGGGAATTCTGGGAGATTGTCCATGTATATAGTTCATGAACTGGAATAGACATGGCAGCAGGCCAGCCAATTGGGGACTGGCTGGAATAGACATGGCAACAGGTCAGCCAATGGGAACTGTTTAGACATGGCAACAGGTCAGCCAATGGGAACTGTTTGGATTAGACATGGCAACAGGTCAGCCAATGGGAACTGTTTGGATTAGACATGGCAACATGTCGGCCAATGGAGACTGTTTGATTAGACATGGCAACAGGTCGGCCA